TAGTTATTATACAGCGTTCGACATGTAAATTTTAAATCTTTTTTCTTGAATTTTCCGATGTTTTAATAGAGATAAATCCAACAAATCAAAGATCATCAAAATCAGTCCAGCAGTTCTCGTGTTATAAGTGTTGTAACAATCCCGACTTTGTTTTATACCTATATATTGATAAAAATATTGTTAAGATATTTATATTTTACTTGTAACTTTGCTTTTATTTTGTTTTATTCTATTTTGGTTCGTTTGTAATTGGTATCAATTTTGCTATGCTTTTAGTCAAAACCATATATTACATAAATAACTTGATAAGTAAATACGTATATAGATATAGATAGAGATAAATATACATAATTACATATATACAAATATATAAAACTACTAGCTAAAAGCTTGCAGTCAGACTTTGTCTTGCCTCAATGAAAACCAAATCTCTACAATTATACTCAACTATAGCTCAGAAACAAATCCCGTAAATCCATTTATGAGGAAAATAATTACGAACACACGTACAAAAGGAAACTATGACTGATTAAATAATGTATCAACGCATAACTGAACGGATTGGGTTGAAATTTGGCACACAGATAGTTATTATGGCGGATGCCTACCGCTAAGATCGGATTTTTGAAAATTCAATCTCTAAAAGAGTAAAACGAAGGTTCAACGTTTGTATGGAGAAATCATATAAGAAAGATGTATCAAAATCAGAAAATTCACAGGATTACGGCTGTCAACAAATAGTGATGATGTTCTCCTAGCCGATTCCGGCTACGGCGGCCAATCTCATTGAGACTAGCCAACTGCGCAGGAGATATTATAGTGCACAAGTGTACGCGCAGACACAAGTGCACTCTTTATTCCTGTTACTCTCATACTCCGGTGGGACGACCACTCGACACGAGCAGTGAGAGTTAAGGTGCAGGACCGACGGCTCTACGTGCTCTTCGAGGCACGGGGGTGAAACACCGCCAACTTCCCAACTCCGGGCAGTTACTGAGACTTACTATACAAAAAGACTCAATAACTAAACTTGGCCCGATCCGGGACTCGAAACCAGGACCTCCGAGTGTGCAGCCGTACATGCTAGCCACTACACCATCGAGGCAGTTGTCAACAAATAAATAAACATGTGTTTTGTACATTTTAAAAAACAACCCTTCAGGGAGTAAATAATGTAAATTTTGTATTGATCTAAATAACAAACTGAAACTCATCAATCAAAATCCAACTTGGCGTGAGCGAAGCTGCGGGCAATAGCTATATAATATATAATCTTTATATTTAGATTCAAAATTTGAATAATAATTTTCATCAAAAAAATTATTAAAAAAGTTTGAAATTTTCAAATTAAAGACGTGTAGACAGGACAACGTCTGTCGGGTCCGCTAGTAATATAATAGAATAATAAAATAACATATCGATATGTTAGACTTAGTGAAAGTTTCGTGATTTAAGCTTCAGACAGACGGACAGTTTTAAAAATACTCCTTGCCTTCATTAAAGGTCGAGATAGTGCGGTATAAATAATGTATCGGGCGACATTTATGTCCTCGCCTAAGTCGTTTGACAGATATAACATTGAATAAAACATTATTTTGTTCACAGACGACGGTCATACTGTCTAGCAATTACCTAGTAATGAGAGTACAAAAGTATTTGACTGACGCCCGCCTTTGACCTCGCTTGAGTTTTGAATCAAGATATATCTATATATATAATAAAATTGTAACTAAGTCGAATCTGTACATCAAATATTTTTTGGAAAATCTTATTGAAATAGACATTATTATCGATACAAAGGCAGAATCATGAACGAATTAACCACAATTCGTTCATGGGCTGAATCTATAGTTTTTAGACTTTTTCTGTCTGTCTGTATGCATCACAGAAAAACTACTGGAGGGATTTTGATAAAATTTAGTATGGTCATAGCTAGTTATCCGGGTTTTTATCGCGGGAAAATATCTCATTTCTGAGAAAAAATACAAAAACTGGTTTAGAATAAAACCACGATGATACTACATATATTTAAGCAAGGTAACTTTTTAAATAAGGCAAAAACTATTTAAAAAAATGGCTTATCTTGAAAAAAATAATAACAATAGCGCTATTTTATATGGTTTTTGGTTATCTGAATGCGGGCGGAGCCGCGGGCAATGCTAGTTTTCAAATAAAATGACTTTTAAAGAAATATTGTACCGTCTTCTTATAGAAGTTAAAAAAAAAGTGCGTGTGTGTGTGTCCAATTCACACATGATAGAAGTGAAACTTTAGGAAAGGAACCTACGAGGGAATGAGATGAATATAGAGTATAAGGAGTAGGATAATTATGAGGTTTATTTTTTTTTATAATATTCTTACCAAGTCTAAAAGTTATTTTGAATTTTATTTTACACCAGCGACTCACCCTCGCTTCGCTCGGGTTCTATCTGTCTATCTTCTTACCAAGTTTCATCTAAATCGGTTCAGTAGATCCAGAGATTACCCCCTACGTCACAATCTCACAAACTTTACCTCTTTATAATATTATTATAGATTTAATATTAGTTTCAGTATACATTACATATTATTCAGTATTAATTTTATTATTTTTCACTTACTGTGTAAAGACAATAACAACCGTTACCATGGCAACATGGCAATGTATTCTATCTCATTCTCTCACCGGCTTAATCCTATATATTTATGTGTTTGTCTCTTTTTAGTGTTGCATATCCGTTTCATCAAGTTTCAAACCACAACCGATTCTAAAGAAGTTTTACTTCAAAAACCGCGTAGACGTTTTCCTTAAAATAGAACCTTCAAAGCTATCTTGGCCCGTTCAATAAGAAACATATTATCTCTTTTTTTAAAACGGTTGAACGGTTACAATGTTAGCAGCTTATCTTGAGGCAGAGATTATTTTATTTTTGCCTTCTTAAATATATCTATGTACACACTTTTGAGCTGGCTTTATAACATACAATGTTAAAACAATATATTAAATAATTAGAAATTCATTTCTGTTACCTATCCATACTAGTATTATAAATGTAAAAGTGTGTTTGTTTGTTTGTTTGTTTGTTTGTTTGTTTGTTTGTCCTTCTTTCACGTCGAAACGGAGTGACGAATTGGCGTGATTTTTTGTGCGAAGATAGTTGGAGGGCTGGAGAGTAACATAGGCTACTATTTACCGCGGAAGATTATCTAATTCTCACGGGAAAACACGTCCATCTAAAACAATATTTATGATCACAACTACTTGAAATTTGGTATTAATACTCTTCAATAAAATTAAATAAATACGCGTTTTAGCATTTTTCGAAATTCATCCTATAAGGGGGGTAAAATAGGGGATGAAAGTTTGTATGAAACTACCTTTTTAGAGATTTTTTTTGTAGTTTAAGCGCGAGCGAAGCCGCGGACTCTGCTAGTTGATTATAATTTGTCATTATTTTATACGAGAAAGCAATAACGTACGTACTCGTATATGTGAATGTGTATGAATGTGTCACTTGACATAAGGGCGAAAGATGGGTCGTTAGACAATCAAAAAAATGAACAAAGTGAAGTCAGGTGTGGGAGAAGGCTTCTTAGTAATGATGATAACTTCCTTTTAATATGGTACACTCACTTTAATATCGCCTTAAAATTAATCATTGTACCTTTAGGGGAGGATTCTTTTCTGCAATTTATATTGGCCACCCTCAAGCTGCCTATATATATATATATATATATATATATATATATATATATATATATATATATATATATATAAAAATATAGCCTATTTATTAAAATGTAATTGAAAAAATAGCCAAATTTCATGTATACATAGAAAAAATTGAGATCACTTCCTTTGTTGATGCTGGGTACAAATTAATATTGAATGTATGAACATACCACAAGTCTATTTGAAGTTCAAATATTATTTTACTTGTCGCGCTAAATTCAATAGATGTGAATCGTGTTATGTATTGTACTGTTGCAGTCGTAAATAGCATTGACTATTTTGTGTTTTCGTTGCAATTAAGTGCAATTATTTGCTATTGAAGCAAATAATATAAAGTGTGACACCGCAGACCGTCGAAATTAAAAATCATTGCCTGTGAAAAGTAGCAGGTGAAAAATATACGTAATTTTATCATATGAAAATGAATTAAAAGTAGCAATCATTTCCATGCCTAATTTGAACGTGAATACACTAAAACAAAGTTTAGTCCATAATATCAAATATATTATACATATTTTTCAGAAAAAATTAATGAGAAATGGCTTGTATATATTATGTCTGCCACTTCATATCATATAAATTACCCAGGATTACGATAGGGAATAAAATTTATTAATTATAATTAATAAACTGATACAAAAATGTATAACAAGTTGCAATAATATTGTTCCAATGACATTACACCTTTTATATATTTACATATGATGTAACTGTTTGACACCGATGGGAGGTGACGAGGCGTCATAGTGATAAGATAGAGCAATATCAACTATTCCCTGAATCGGTATGTAGCGTCATCGGCTATTTACCTGTTGATAAGCATTCTGTACACGACTGTATTATCAAACAACTATTTACTTATTTAACTTTGTTTAACATGAAACTTCTAAATGTCTATGGATATTGGCTCTACATATAGGGTAAAACAAGCTTAATGCTAAGCTTCGAAGCTCATTGTCCTTATACGTGTGAGTCGAGTCTGTAATAACATGAACTGATGAATCACACGTTCGTTAGCAGCATCATATCTCGCAATCAGCGCCGCGTCTGCCTCGCGCCGCGTCATTCCACTAAAAACATGCAAATTGTTCATGTTTCCGTGATTCACTGTTAGGCCGATACAAACTTCAAATGTAACGTCCTTTAAAACTCTACATAGAGACTAATCGGCGTATTCTACGTAGAGTTGGCAATTGGGAAGAGTTTAGATAATTTCAAATATTAGTCGCGAGCAGAGCGTATATAAGTATCAGATGACGGCAAGCATACGCAAGTTTACAATCATTCAACGTCCGAAGTTGGTGAATGTCACCGCGGGGGAACGACGTCGGCCGTCGCGGCGCGGGCGGGCGTGGGGGGTGCGCGCGGGGGTGGCGGGCGGGGTCGCTGACCTCGGGCGCGAGCGGGGGGGCGGCGGGCGCGCCAATGTCAGGGCCGGTGCAGCGGTCAGCTGACGTCTGGCGGCGCGCGGGGGCCGCGGCGGCCGCGCCGTCAGCCGAGGTGCAGTCGGGTCTCGCACTCCGCCGGAGACGCACGCTTCTCTCCGCGCCGCGCTATATATAGAGCGGTGGCGTCGCGCGCTACTCTGGCGCCGGGGCTGTTCAACGAGTCAGGTACCTGAAGTAGCGCGCGAGGCTGCCGCTCTGGTCTTCATCGGGAACGCTCGAGGCAGCTCGGTGCCGCCGCACGCCCATTGTACTTCATCAGGTGCTCTGGTGATAATAGTTCCAGGCGCTTGTTGGAGTACACTTACCGTGTCGGCGGTTTTCGTCGGTACGGAGTACAGCATGTAGTTCGCGACATGAGCATCGAGGAGCACGTGGTGGCGCGTGGCGACGGACGGTGTGCTGAAGGTAAGCCGTGGGCGAGACAAAGAGTGCGGTGAGTCACGCCGGTTGATGACCCCCCGCAGGACACCCCCTCCTTGCTGCACCCTCGCGCTTAAAATTCGCACTTGGCATCCATATTGGTCATCGAACTCCTACCAAAAGACTGAACAAAGGCGGTTCAAACTGGTTTTCGTATTTTTCGTTGGCGACCGGCTGCCGGCGCTGTTTTCCTGTACGGCTCTCGCGAGCCTATGTACGTGTGCGCTGTGATTGCGGTTTTCAGCGGCTCGAAGGCCCTTTAAAAGTGAAATCTGAGGTGTTTAAGGTATTTAGCATGTCTAGACGCTAGCGACTGTGACGTCGCTTCCCGATCGCGCTGAGATGTCAGGAGAAGGTTCAAGAACAAAGCTATTTATAAAAACGAGTGTAAATCGATTAGTATCATAATAGTATTTTTTTGTTAGCCTAGCGAGTTTTGCACGCGTGCCATGCCCGAAATTCATATAATTCCATTATCTATATCAGCTTGGTAATTTTTAATAGAGGCGGTCTTACTTTCTTCGCGTGTGGCGTCGTTTTGCATCGATAACTTACTAAGTGCGAATTTCGATGAATCGAGACTTTATGGCTTGTAGGTAAAGTAAAATTTGCTCCGAATGGCAGTAAAATATTGCTTATATTATGCTTAATGCAAACAGCCAATAAATGTCCAAGACAAGTCTCGGCTGCATGAGTCACAGGAATGCGTCTAATTGTCGAAGTGATCACGAAGAATACCTTGCGTTAGATTTCAAATTAAAGAGAAAATGTGGATGAAACCGATATCTATTTTATTCAATGATTTATACACGTTTCTACTCGAATGGTTAAATACAATGCCTATCACTACGTACATATGTATATATAATATATCCTAAAACAACAGATTGTTTTCAAGAGACGAGATATTTTGTTATTACTCCCACTGTAATAGACCAGGTCTTCAAAATCGCGAAATATTATCAGAATGTCGATGTAGAGTCAAAATATTTCTGAGGTATTTTATTTTATACACAGTAAAACTGCCTCGTGTACTTATCTTTGTTTTTGAATGCCTTCGTCGTGACTTGGTGTTATTTTTGTTACTTAGGCGAGCTTAAGCAATGAAGTCACTTAAATTTCTGTTTTATTTTTGTTCGTAATTTCCAGTGTCAATGCATTAGCAATATCGGGTTGAGTCACTCAGTGAATGGCTATTTGCATTTAGATTTCTAATATCAGCCTTAGATATCGACCTTGCGACCGACAGAATACCAAGAAACGCTGTCTTCAATATGCTTCAAAGAATTTGCCAAGTTCGATTAGCATTTAGTCTGATATCTAAAAGGAAATTCCGTTTAAGTCTGAACTGGACTTTTTGTGTCTATGGCAGGATAAGAATTCCTGAGGTTTATAGGTTTTTTGTACTGATCTAGGCAACTCTAAAAACGCACATAGAGATGCAGATTTTCTACTCAAATTTAACGTATAGCAACATATCTACAAAACAATTTTTTTCTCTTTAATCAATAAAATTATATACTTTTCCTTAGGAAAAGTTGTTTGAATTGATTTTCAATTTCAAATCTTAGATTATATAAATAATACATATAAATAATCTAAGTTTCAAATATCTATTCTTGAATAATTTTCAACAACTTCCTTATTTCATAATTTATAATTAATGACAAAAACCGTATAATTGCTTCTTTCAAAGTGGTTTTTTTTGTTAAACTTTAGACTTTTTCTCCACAATTCTCAGTAATACTTTTAAATGGAGCATTTAATGTTTAAAAGACAGCGATCATTGCACTTTATTGAACTGACGTTCAGATAACATTTATAAAATTTCAGCAACAGAGCATTGCCAATTAGGCATCATGAATTAACCTTTTTATAAGTATAACGGTTCATACATACCTACTCATTTAAAGATAATATTGTTTTTATAAATCAATTTTTAATAAAAATAGTTATAATTGTAAAGATATTTGCAATAATTGTTGATGACAAAGTATTTTGCTTCTTACGCGTCTATTTTCAACCGACTTCAAAAAGGAGGAGGTTCTCAATTCGACTGTATGTTTTTTTTATGTTTGTTACCTCAGAACTCCGTCATTTATTAACCGATTTGGACAATTTTTGTTTTGTTTGAAAGGGTATACTTCCAGATTGGTCCCATTTAGATTTCAAAAGTATTTGGCTAAGTAATTAAAGCCTACCTATGAAATACATACCTAATCAAATATTTTCGAAATCGGTGCTAGCCCATACAAAGCAAAGCACACCGACTTCGAAAATATTTGATTAGGTATGTATAGTAAATGAAAACTACCAATCAGTTATTTTTTACTTTTTAGTGCTTTTGTTTGAAGTCGGTTTTTATTTTTTTGTTAAAAAGTTTTTTCTTGAGCCTAAAGGTCAAAAGCCTGTAATCATTTGTAATGACTGTGAATTACACTGGCATACATAAAATGAGAACAATAACACGTATATTTATGATGGCGACTTACCTTCGTTCCGCTCGGGTTCCTGGATGCTTAATACTAAACGAAAAACAACTCAACGGTCTGCTTTTTTCCACTTCTATTTTTCAAAAGTTATAATGATTTCTGACAGTAAATACCAATAAAAAAATAATACAATATATTTAGTATATTTGATTTCCAATCAAAAAGTTTAATAATTTTAATATAAATAATTCTCTTAATATTAATATTATCTATTATTACTATTATTATTTCCAATATATTAATTGGAATAAAAAACAGCACTAAGTGGTAATGCAGACTCTATTAGTGAATGATTTTTTAGAATCGGATCTGTAGTTTCTGAGATCACACCTTACATACAAATTTATGAAGTTTACTTCTATAATCTATACATACTCGTATTATAAAATTGTAAATTGTATATGAGTCAAATCTGAACATTAAATATTTTTTTTAAATCTTATTGAAATAGTCATTATTATCGAAAAAAAGGCCGAATCTATAGTATTTAGAATTTTTGTCTGTCTGTCTGTTACCGCATCACGAAAAAAACACTGGACAGATTTTGATGAAATTTGGTATGATGATAGCTGGATATCAGGGTCAACAGAGTCAACTAAATTATTATTAAATTAAAAATAATTACTAAATTAAAATTATTATCCTTAATTAATTTTAACTTTTTAAATTACACATAGAACAATTATATGGCTTAAATAATTAATACTATATTTTATATTTTTCTTTATGGTTATAAATATACTAATGGCAACACTAAATATAGGTTACTAATTAATGTTTTTAAAATTGTAATAATTATAAGAATAATAGCAAAAATTAAATAAATAATATTCCATATTCAATTATAATTAAAATTATAAAAATGTTTAAAGTTAAAAAATATTGTAAAGTAATTGGTGCAATTTTCATTTTGTAAATTGTGGGTAGGCTGTCTGTAACAACCATACCTTCAAGACATGTAACACCTCAGTCTCTCCCGTGACCATGGATGCTGTAAAGCATTCGAAACGTCGGGAACCAAAAATCAAAACAAATCCGCGAAATAATCCGAAAAGATAGTTTTATTTAAAAATGTCAAACATTCGCGTAAATCTAAGAAAGTATTACAGTAACTATCTTTATACTATTTTTTTTCTTTGTATTATTATTCGTCTTTGTCCGCTGCATCGATACGAGCTTATGTGTTTATCTAGTAGCCGTTAATGTCGAAACATGTTAAAGCGTTAAGAAGTAACAAACACACAGACTTACAAATTTTCACATTTATAATATTATAGCGTAATATAAAATATCCAAATTCTGTATTTTATAATCAACAAAAAACCTGAGTCCCGTAAAATAAAAAAAGTATCATTATTTTAGTTATTATTACTTAAATTAACATTATGACTGATGACGTGATTTTTACGTTTGTCTGTGAAATTTTACAATTTTTCTCTTCATAAGAATCTTCCTCGGATTTCAACGAATATTTAAAAAAAAAATATTGCCGAATCGGTCCAGTCGTTCTCGAGCTTTGCGCTTAGCAACACATTTAGCCATTCATTTTTATTCATATAGATAAATTATGCTAAATTTCCGTTTTTTTTTGTTAATTTAACTTATATTGTAAATTAAGTATATAATATATTTTTTTGACTATCTGGTTGCTAATGTAATTTTTTGTTGTTAGTGTTGCTAGTGTTTTTAATTTGCCTCTATTATATTGGTATTTCAGAATTATACTTAGTTTGCCACAAACTCTATCAGCAGAGAAAAAAAATATTCTAGCAGGATTACTCATTACTGAATATTAACTTAAACTTCAAACTTACTTTAAACAAAAATCAATAGAATCGCGGTTACATGTAATTAAAACCAAAATATTATAAGCATTTCGATATATTGATTGTAATGTGATAAATCAAAACTTTTTATATTATTTAATTGTAAAAAATTGTAGTTTTACAAAAAAAAATTATATCTTGCCGAAAGCGTTTTGCATACTTATTTGTATTTAAAGATTCACAAAACCGCACTTATGTCTTAACTAGGTTCGAATTTAATTACCGATAAACAGATGCCTCGTGCAAGATTGAACTTGCAATTTTTGAGCAAACTAAGCCCCCCCTTACAGCTTTCTTGTAGTTGTACTTTACGAAACCGCGTGTGATCTAGTATTTATATATCCACCCACAGCCCACAGTGTGAGGTCAACAGTGTAATTTGTGTTAATATTCTATGCTAATTAGAACTATTTAATAAATGTTAAAAACCAATGGATTCTAAGACGTTTTTTTTTCGTTATTTTAATGTTACTCGCTAATTCTGTATATACTTATCATATTTTTTCTTTATAGCTGTAGCTTCTTTTGCGGCTCTCTTTGTGTTTTAAGTGATATATATTTTTAAATTAATTTTTGCACTTATTGAAATATTAAATACCTGTC